TCTTGTAAAGAACGAAAGGTCGGTGACCTAAAGTACGCTTCCTCAAGCGCTTAGCTACAGCAGCCCCGCTGCACTTGGCATACCTGCATGAGGCCCTCGCTTGCTCTGCTACTATGCCACAAGCACTGCGCTTATACCGCTGCCCAGCGATAGACGCCCTTGCATACGTGCCACTTCGAAATACATACGTCTGAAGAAAGGTGCCTGAAACATCAACTCGTCCGTCTCAATGAGCGCCGGGTACTGTGCCACACTGATGTACACTGAGTGGCCAGCGAAAATACCAGCTCAGAGGCTGCCACCTGCGCTAACACCTCGAGATCGATGCCGATGCTAAGAATATCTACGTCATAACATGATTGTCAGCAGCAGAAGTGTGATCAAAATTTATCATAAATCTGTAATTGTTACCGGAGTATCGGTGCTTATATTCGACCATGTGACGGGACACGTACATTACTTGTGCATGCATAAATTTGGCGCAAGCATTGATTGAAGACAATTACAGTAAGAAATGACCTTACATTTAACACGCTAGACTACTATGGATTGATGCATATGCCTGATTTCGGACTTTGGTTTGCTAGACGTAATGTCAATTTCTTATTTATATTAAGTGTTGCTATGCCAGACACTAAATTCGACCTTAATATATCTATTATTCGCGAGCAAATCAAATCTTGAGCATTATGTACAAGTGTTACATTTTTTAGTTGACAAAATACTGACTTTAGAACTTAATGCGAGCCAGTGGTGCTAGGTATGCGACGTAGCACCATATCAGCAGCTGTTGATAGTCACCATTGTGGATTTTGATTTTCTTCCAAAATCGGGAAATTGCGAAACAAATTCGCCATCTTTATTGGACCCCCAAAAAAAACTACTTGCAAGAACTCTTGGGCATCGTACGACACTTTTCCCATACATTCCACACGAAATGAGAAGAAACCGATGGAAGGTCTATCAGCAGACTTAGTTCTGCTTTCGTGGAAGAGTCGAAGTTGCTCACGACTCACATTGAGCGAATATAACTCTTGTTGGTACCACCTCCTAATCTTTCCTTGCAACGCGAAAAGATGTTGATATTCACCGTTGTCGCATTTGGAATACGATTCGCCTCCAAAACCGGAAAATTGCGAAACAATTGAAGCCGAGGTGTCTTGCCTGTGGTTTGCATTCCGATTTTTAAATCAACATCGTCCTTTTCAAAATGGATTGAGTCTTCTGAGCGTTTGTCGACACTATTATTCACAGCCTTGTCTTCATATGATTCGTTAATGCCGAAATCGGGCACATTTGACATCGTAGAATGACATTAATCGAGAGCTTTAGCTCAGGTAAAATAAACGATAATCGTGAGGGTAGTTAGCGTGTTTGAGTGACACAGCGCAAAAACACTAATGTAAAAAGGTCAGCGTTAAGCTCAAAACTGTTCTTTTTATTCTTAGTTTTCAGATAACAAAAATCTGACACATAGATGTATCTCGATTGTTTGCTGCCTCAATCACTTTCATTAAGCCATCCCCGCACCTTTCGCCACAATAGCTGTTTTTCTTGATCGATGTATCGCTGATGTTTGGCTTCATTCGTAGCCATGTGCCACCGCCCAAAAATTTGGCGCAGTTTGAAGTATTGCATGTGGATCATTGCGTCAAAAACAAACTTTTCTTGGTAAGCGCATTTACTTATAAAACAGTTAAACCAGTGCTTCCAAGAATGCTCAAGCGTGCTCCGCTGACTTTGACGCCAGACATAATGTGCCTGAGACCGGATTGCTTGGAGGTGTCGTGCTAACCGCCAAAATGCACGTCGTTTGACATTACGGGTATAAAGTTGGTCGGCCTTTTTTAATTGAGCACTTTCGTGTCGACAGCGCATCTCGCGACAAATCTGCACAAATTCTTGCCATCTCTCCCAATGCGAGTAAACAGATCGCAGCTCATGCCATCGTGTTGCGTTGCGCGCGACCCGTTCAATGAGAGCCTGATGCTTCTGCCATGGCAATATCGCGTAGAAGAACAATAGTCGCCGACAGTCATGCTTCAATGCCTTATCCCACTGAGCACTTAAATAGGCACGACGCTCGCGTTTTTCCTTTAACAAAACAGCTTCTGCGAGCTTTCTTTCTCGAGCTCGTGCCTTTTCTTCCAACTGCTTTTCAAGAATTATGTTTTCTTGAGCTGCTCGTTGCTCTTCCTGCTCTTGTCGCTTCTTTTGCTCAAGCTCTTCGTATCTTCGCTTTAACTTAAGCCGCCGTTCTTTCCGCTCGGCAGCACGCTGTTCCATAGAATCGAATACCTTGTCTGCGTGCTTGTGAGCTCGTCTTAAACATTTTGGAAGCTGCGTCTTAGCAGGCTTTTGATTTGAAAAATCAACAATACTGCCGTCGGACTGCGGTGCTTTTGAGTCCTTAAAATCCGTCCAGGTCTGCACTTTTCTCCTTATTTGTTCCACTGTTACTTGTGTGCTGCGACCATCAGATATATTAACACATCTGTCTGTTGTATCTTGAGAAGACGTATCACATCTTTGAGCGCCAAAATCCTCCATACCAGGTTGGCAGTCATCACACTCAACTTTTAATAATTTGTTCTGTTGTTTCTGAATGAGCCGCTGAAAGTGTACCTTACGTCTGTGAACGGCATCTACCGCTGCACGATGACCCTGCTGATGCGACACGAATGCCATCCATCGATATAACCATACCGGTAAGCGCTTGGAGCGATAATATTCTTGAGCTCGCTCGTTCATTTGTTGTTCATCTACTTTCTTCAGACGGGACTGCTCGACAGCCCTTGTTTGGCCTCGTCGATGTGTGTATCGCTTCCATGTCGCCACATAACGCATCATTATGCGCCATTTATAGTCAGCAACAACTTGAGCCTCTACTTCTCGTTTCGATTCTATTAAACGATACCAAGCATTAAACAGGTTTTTCAATATCTGTAAACGTGCTTTGCGATGCTCGAGGCGTTCTTTTAGCGCCACAGCATGCTGATTCTCTAACGTAAGGCGCTTAATTTTTTCTTCGACAAGGCGCTGCTGTTCGCTCACCTCCTCGTTATTGTCACAGGTAGGCTTCGGTAGCTTGTGCAAAGTGCCCTCCTCCACCACCTGAGCTTTGCGCGTTTTGCGTGCTTGTAGTAGAAGCTCCTGTCGCCGTTCCATTGACAATTGCTGGGGTGGAGGAATACATATTTGTGTCCTCTTTTTCGATTTGAATGCGCCAGCTTTTTGTCGATGTTGCAGCTGAGTGTGTTGCTTTCTTTGAGAAACTTTTTTCCTCAAACACTCCTTCACTTCCTGGTTTCCAAAATTATTTTTCTCTAAATAGACATGCTGCTTATTCAGGCTGCGTGACGGCATCGTCGGTATGTTTCTGTCGTCGATCCGACTTGCTGAGTTTGTAATTGCCAAACCTATCCGATGCAAGTTTTTCTTCTCTCCTCGTGACTTGCTTCCATCTCGAAAATTCTGAGCATGGCGCAATGCATCTGCTTGCTTCTCAAGTTGAAATCGTGCTTGAATGATTTCTCTCGCTTCTTCTGCAATTTCCTGACCTGGAGTCTCCTCAAAATTAACCACGATATCGTTTGCATCCCGTGTTTGATTTCGAAGGCGCCATTCAGGCTCGCTGGCAAATGCATTACGCCAACCTAGCAACTCATCCACACATTCACCGCTTATGTCTTCCTGCTCTTTTGGCTTTGTGTCCAGTGCTTGCAAAAGTCGATCTGATAGTGAAGGTGATCGAGCCTGAATTTCGACTTCAGGCTTCGCTGTACCGTGCTGTAAGTCAACTTGATAGACTGATTTTTTGCCAAAGCGCAATTGCCACGATGATGGCCTTGCTGAGGGTGAAGACGTGTCTAATGGCACATGATTTCTGTGCATAGCTGGTCTCAGCTTAAGTGCACTTTGGTGAGTTCATTCGTAACGTTGGCAAAGCTTTAATTGCTCTAAAAGCAGCAACAGACGGCATGATCGCGTTTTGTCGTTCTGCTCCTAGGTTCTAAATTCAGATATGTCACCATCAGTTTGCCTAAGCTATTTGGCCCACAGCCATTGTGATTTTCGCAATCGTTGAGATGTTCGACAAGGAGAGTCTTGTCCAATCCATGATAATTTCAGGGTGCTTTTGTATCATCCAGATGATTGTACTTATTGTTCTAGGTGTGTTGCTGGCGAGTAATATACACTATCACGAGTTACTGGGCATGAGCATCCGCGACGCTGGCAATGGTCTCATTTTTACGGGTATACTCTACTTTTTTGCTGCAATACTTGGATTAGCTACTGCTCGCACGAAAAACAAATGCCTACTGCTCGTTCAGGTGATACTACTTGGGCTGATATATTTCTTTCAGACTGTCATGAGTGCAATCGCGCTTGTTGGTAGTCGGGCTCCCAGTCTTGCGCTAAATTACGAATTCCAAATAATTTGCCTTACGGTGGGCAAGTATGAGGCGTTGAGCGACAGTGACAAACAATTATGTCAACGCTTTTTTCATAGCGATGAGTTTGCAGGTGTCATGCTGGTGTGGCAAAACTATTACAATAAAAGTGCCGTGGGGAGTAAGGAGGCGAGCTCTTATCGTGCAATGGTACTTAATATACAACAAAGTAACTTTTGTTGTGGATATGGGCTTCCGAGGAATTGTGCGATTATTACTGACTCATTTCCAAGTTCTCGACCGAAACCAACAGTATTGAACTGGAGCAAGCAACGTCAAAATTGTTCTAAATCCTCCGGGATGTATCTCCCTACGACGGAATGTCAAGGCGCGTGTTCTTTTGCGCTTCCGAGTGGATCCTGCGGAAAAAATCTGGTTAATAGTGCGTCGCGTGGATGTGCTGCGTTCGTGTCGAAGCAGCTTAGTTCACAAGTCCAAGCAATTAGTGCGACTGCCTTAGTGTTAGCACTCTTCCCGGTGCGTTACCCAAACAAATCGACTAATTGCACATATTTCACCCAGTCTAATACTGCAAACAAGGCAGATCATTTTTATTGTAGGATCTGTGTGTCTATGTATGAAGCGAAGAGACCAAGATGTGCGGCCGCACATAGAGTTTGCAAGTAAAGTTAGAATACATGCTGAAATTTGATATAGTGAGCGAGCAATCGTCAGAAGAGAATATATAGAAATGGAAAAGACCGTTTCGAGCACACGATCGCAAATTTCAAAGGAACAATCAAGTGAATCTCCAAATATGGCGGCGGCATCGCTAGCTGTCCAGTTCTACATTTTTGAAGTCAAGGGCAAGACGTTGATGCCGCTACAATCCAAAGCGGCAGCGTAAAAGGCTGGGGAAGACTAGCTCTCAACGTGCAAATCATTCAAATTAACAGGTCTTTCATTAGACCATCATGACAAAAATTACAACTATCCTAGCCAAGGCGTTTTCATTTGCGCACCGTCAGAACGACATCTCAAGGTTGAAAGAAGGCCAATACCAATTTAAAATACTTGAATCGACTGCCTGCGGTGCTGGTGTGGGTTTATCTCGTGCGAACCACTTTGTTTTCCACTTCCACTGACTTTTCTTACACCATCAACTAGCGGTGCCCAGCTTTCTCAGTACACTGCTGTCTCAGTACACTACGTTCTGCCCCCATTAAACCATTAGGATCGACTCCAGGTCCAAACCTCCAGCACCTGAATCACACGGCGCAAGAACATATTAATCCCAAAACGTACTGATCGAGTTGCCCCAAGGGTTACTACTTGCCGTCGAAGGTAGCATTGTCAATGCCTTCCCCGGGTTCTGCGTTGACTGGTTGTAGACCACACATCCCGTGGACCGTACGAGCGCTGCCTTATCTAAAAGGAACATTTAATTTAAATCAGCATGGAAACTGCTCGGTGTGTGCTGCTCTCACCACATCAAACTTTGTCTAATTAATTAAGAATTGTGGGAAACGGGGATACCCTTAGATGATGCCACGCCGTGGGACCAGATTGAGAAATTTTACTGAAAATATATTCAAACTCGAATACTTTCGGAGTCCAATGATTTTCAGCTGAAGCAACGATAAATTGGATCCTTACCAATGCAACATCTGCTCACCCCATGGTGAAGCGAAAACCTCACTCCGTGATATCAGAAAGCACGCGACCAGCGCTTTCAAGAACGCCTCAGCCCTTGAAAAAAAGAAATCACTCCGAAGCCGTCTATAATGTGTAACCAGAATTGATCCCGCTACTTCGCAAGCAGCTGAAAACACCACGGAATGACCGTCTTTACGGATCACACACGATGGTAGAGCTCACCGCTGTGATCCAATAGAACTAGAGACGGTCTTTTCAAAACATCGAGAAACGGCCCAAATTCTGGCCCCTCATTGGGTCGATTACAGGATGAGACTTATTGCCTTTGAATCTAGTTTTTTTGCTGGACTCATAATTTCTTCTTGTTTTTTAGACTTTCTTAGAAAATATAATTGATGGCTGACACATTATTGTTAAGTTGTAATATTGTTGAACCACCCTTAAAAGCTTATAAATATTACTGATTGATGGTAAATAAGAGCCATAAAGGAGAGGTAAGAAACCTTCCGGTTAAAATAATTCTAAAAACCTTATTCCCGGGATTGTTGATCCTGGCGACCGATGCACCCAACGTGGGTAGCAGCCTTATGCTTTCAAAAATCATGTGCACAATGTAGCTCCGCTGAACCAAAGAAGCCAATATATCCATGATTACATCGTAACGCTCCGGTATTCTATCTGCTCACTTAAGGAGGGACGTTGTCGGTCTTCGTAAGAAAATACGATCTCATTTATGGTACTCGGGGATGCGTTGGCATCCACAACTCGCGTCTCGCATAAAACCGTAGGGAACCAAGTATGAGTAAGCGGATCGCAATCCGCTTACTCCAAGAGTGATTTTCACAAGGCTAATCAACTCTTCGGTTTAAATTCCAAACTCATTTTTATTTATATTTTTATCCTAATGTTAAAAGTTTAGATATTCCTGAATATACTAAATATATATAGTAAAATCTAAATACATGCATAACTACTTGCTACCTAGCCCCGTACCGTATTCTTGTTTGGGTGTGTTGTCACATCATGCATATCTCGTGTGACACACACACCCGTGTTCTTAGGGTTCGTGTAACCTCGTTACAGTAATATATCTAATGAAGCGTGGCGTCACTTTGGTACTCCTGACCAAACTTGTCTAACCCGTAGGTGAATTTATAATGTCTAGTGGTTTTACGACCATTCAAATGCTGTTCTTTTGCCGATTTTGGGAACGTGTCTTTGCTTTCAGGGTTCGAATGATCACAGTCACTCTGCCGTCAATAAATGTTGACGGATAATCCCGCAAAATAAAGATCTCACATTGCTGCCAAATGCCGAAGGAATCAAATAAAACTTATTCTCACGGCTCATATGGTGACCAAGATGCGCTTTATGCGCCTACAGAGGTGCATCCCACACCAGATTTCCGCCGCTCCAAACGACAACTCTTGGAAGATACTTCAGACTAATTTTACCAAACAGCAGGTCACCAACCCATTTGTAGTGACATTCGGACAGGAAACTTAGCGACGATTCCGATTGGCATAAATTCTATATGCCTGACGGGGTTTTGCATGAGAATCGCCGTGAACCGACTAATTTACGTTAGCACATAGTCAGTTTTAACCAATTCGGTTTGTGATTACCGAGGTAAACTTCCGCAGAGAATAACAGCCATCTGGTCATTCATTGCGACAAAAGTGGTGTGTCGATGACCGTCAGCAAAGAACGTTGTCTGCATAGATCACACGGGGTTAGAGCTTGTAGGGTGCACTCAGAGCTCCACGAGGTCTTTGACATGGAAACTCCTCTCGGCAACTTTAGCTACCTGGACAAGTGCGAGGTAACTTGTTGGCATTCCTTCTGATCGGGCTGCAGAACGCGCAGCCGATGTCATACTTCAAACAGTCGCAAAGATCGCTAAACGGCTTTGCCTCGTCCGGCACAGCTGGAACAGGTGCTTGCTGTAGGTTTGCCTTGATATTCTCAAAAGCACATTTGTGATGTGACTCCCAGCGACAGTCCAAATTCTTATTCAAAAAGGTGGACGATAGCTTGTGGAAGTCCCGCGTACCCTGCACTATACATGAGCAGCTAATTATCTATTCTTCTTTGTTTGCTAAAGCCGGTCTGTCTGAGTCAGGAATCAAATCCATGCACTAATGGCTCTAACCTTCTCGGGGTCTGCATGAACACTCTTGTTGATCACAAAGCACCGAAAAATTTAAAGATTTCAGTGCATAAGTGCACATAACTAGCCGGATTTTACCTTCATCTCGACTGCGGACAAATGTTTTGTCAAATCACGTTTGTGCGAAATCACGTAGGGCCTAAACAAATGTGTGAGCAGGCGGATAAATGTTGTTGGGTCTTTGAAAAGACCTTGCGGTATCACTAGCCACCTCCACAGTATACCGCTTGGGGTGCTTGCTACCATAACTGGAATGTCAGAATCCCGCAACTGAGCCTAATAGTCAGTGTCTATCTACATCGCCCCGGACATGATGCTCAGCAGTTCTCCCTCCCAAAAATCGAAATCTGTACCGACTGTTACATTTATTGAATGCGTTCCGCTGCACGACCCTGGATCAGTCAGCACGATCCGCTCGGTTTCCAATGCAGACAGTTGGTAATTTAAGCGATCTTTTCGATTTTTGCACCATTTTTACCTTCGCCGTATTGGCAAAGAAGGTGTCTGCCCCTTCGGTTTTGCAATGCGCATACCATTGCATCGTGACACGGTACTTTGTGCGTAAGTTCCCTTTATGATGAAGGCTGAGATAGAAGGGTCTTTCATCCGAGTTTGTGTAACTCTACGTTTCTATTTACTCGCTCGAGGCCGAGGTGCATCTCTTGTAATCTGCGGAACTCTTCAAGAACATCTTTGTCAGTACTGGAGGACACATTCGAGTCATCAAAAGTGGTTTCGACTATAGAAACACCACATTCACTATTTCACCTGCCTTATGCTCGGCCAGGATCTCAGTAACCTTGAATTCTCGAGGTTCAGTTTCTACCTTCGTCAGTGCATCCATCTGAATGGCACCTGCGCGCACGCGATAATCCGAGACGTTGTCGCAAGGGCAATCGCATCCTACAATCTAATGTGTGCTGTATGGTTATCCATGACCTGAAATTGAAATTTTTGCCGCACATGTTTTGATTCGGTCGCCATGTCTTGTGTAACCTCAGGGCATCACCCGGTCGTCCCGATCTTATAGTAAATCCGTTATCTGTATCAATTCCCACACAGGTAGTCCGCAAGGCCAATACTCTATAACTTATGGTCTAAGCAACCCGTCGTTGCGCGATCATTTTTACGACACAGTTAGGAACAAAATCTCTCCAGCAGGGAGCAGCTCTTGTGCATCCCTCGGCAGTCATTGTCTGCATCATAGGACTCTGTAACCCACACGAACGCGTGCCTTGTTCTACGGTCGTATCTGTGCCTTTGAGTGGACGTATGCTTCCCTCGTCTCTAACGCAGTTTCGCTCCGCGCTCACGAGCAATAGAGTGTGGCATCTTCTTCCCTAATCAAAAATGCCCATTCAATCTTTTCAACACTACTTGATGTTGGCGGCATTTCTTCCTCGCCGAGAAGTTGATATCACAACCATTCCAACGATGCTCATAACTAATGCTGTCTTAACGCCTTGGTGATCCCGTTGGGTGCCCGACGGTCTAACAGTGACGGGAGTTTGACTCACCAAAGCTAGGCCAGAGCGTGCGATGTAGCTGACAATAATAGCCATACATAGGCATTAGATCGAGATGTCGTGCATTTGCTAGGATCGAGTCGTACGTACCCATATCAAAGAATCAAAAGCTACGGACTGTCAAAGTCTTCAGTCTTCCATACGGATTCTGGGTGCTCATATCAAAGACCCCCCATTTTCTCCGAGACCAGTCACTTTTCTTTGCTCTCGTGCAATATCAGCAAACATATTGTCATACTGTGCCCCTGTATGACATACTCTAGCGTGTCAAAACGTTGCATGCCGTCAAGCTTTTTATGGACACATACACTTGCGCGAACCGCGAGCAGTGCTTTGCTGCTCGTATCTCCTATGCGAGCACCTAGGCTCGCAGGGAATGTGCGCTTATGTTCGTGACTTCAGCATACCTCTCTTAAGGTCTCTGACTTGATTTAGAAGGGCAACAAGTTTTCTAGCAAGTGGTTGCGGCTTCTGCGCATTATTTTCAGACCCCTACTGGAATAAGCCAAGTCCTCTAAGCCCGTGGCCAATAGCTGTGTAGGCACGTATCATGTGGCTTGAATTAAAGCAGCCATAGCAGCATATGTTTCAATACTTGGCCACAACTAGGTCTATGAATACTAGAACGATAGCAGCTGCATATATGCTGTTGTAGGCGCTACTGAAGACGGATGTCCCTGCCATCCAATGGAGAGAGTAGGAGCCTGATTGTCGCTGTACTCCTCCTGAAGCGCGATCTGTATGACTACACCCCAAGTAACTAGGTGCGTCGTAGACTTAATCTTAGAGTAACCGCCTTGATGTTTACTGCCAGAATTGCTGTTAGTAAGTGCATCTCTTAAATGAGCTCATTCGACTCGTACCTTCCCTGCTTGCAGGCAGAAGAGTACGAGCGCTGGCAGGACCGAGACTCATGTTTGCCGATAGATTAGAGGTAAGCAACAGCACTCGCGTTTCTGCGGTCAAGATGTCAAATATTTGAGCGTCATGGGCTCAAGCGTGTACGTCCAACACCCTGAGTCACTCGACTGCGATCAGAGCTGCTTCTATGCCTATGACCAGCTCTGAGTCAAGGACTATATGTCCTGACCGTGTCAAAAAGCCTGTTCATGGTGAGTGAAAGCCATTTTGTGGTGCAGTCGATGATCAAGTGCTAGACGCTCCAATCACCCGCCGATTTTGCAAATAGAAGGGGATACGTCACGTAATTAGACTTGTTGCGAACGGTCTATATGGCTCAAATGACGATGATGGAGACCATTCCGTGACAATGAACTTGTGAATCCTAAAATTCACGAGACGTACTGCTTTCAAATTGCCAGTGAACGAAAGGCACGGTTCTTTACAGCGATTACTGTAAGGATGACTGTGCTTTCATCAATTGCTATTTTCATAAGCAACCTTCAAAATCACTAGTTATTTTGTTTTAACTGAGCTTGAAGACTCAAGTCATACAACATTCGAGTTTATTTAGCTAAGTAGCTTCGTGTAGCACCGATTTCCATCCATGCAAATTACTGCAGTGCTCACAATGAACACAACAAGTCAAAGTCGCTTTGCTTTAGTAAATGGGAAGAAGAAAACAGGGATCGTTTCTAATAGATGTTGACGCAGTATAGAGGTTCTGGCTCGGTTAATCCATCGATATTTGCATCACATACTAATCATCTATGGTAAAGTACTCGCTTGAGATTCTACACGGCTCCGAGTTTCAAAAAAAGTCGACGTTAAGCGGAGTCAGCTTGGAATTTAATATGCAGCATACTATAGTCTGGCATCTTAGCCACAGATCGGCGTTAATGGAATTTATAACTCATCTAAGGACAGCTTAGCTGATTAGCTGACAGATGGAATAACTTTCACGAGATTGAGTACACTTCTCACTAGCAATGGTGAGCCAGTTGTATCGGTACTAGGATCACCCGGAAAGTGCTTGTGAGAGACCTGACATTTATCGAGTTCTACTCCTTGGCATCATGCTTGTTCGAAACTACGAGATAAGTTTGTTCTCACGCACAAATTCTGCTGATCGTAAATTGGGATAGTTTCCGATATCACTCTCCGTCAAAGCAATAACACTAATCAGGGCGTGTATCCTCTGTAAATTGTAGTCTCTGCGTTTCACGCGCTTATCAACGTGACCAATCTAATACTTCTAGACGTGGGCTACTAGCCTCACACAATACAATAGATAACTTTTAGTTATAAGAGATAACATATATGTTTGGTATCAAGTTACGCCAGACTAAAACATAACATAGGTAATTAGTGAAATTGAATAAATATTGTTTAGCGTAACTGTTGTGCACCTTGACAGAGAAACCATCAAGTCGGAAATTCAGCGTAAACAAACGTAAAAAAGTTGGGACCGTAAGCTTTGACCAGGAGCGCAACCAATAGTCTCCAGCTTAATTATTTTAATTTTTAGCAATACCATTTTGACTTTGCATGAATTCAAGATTAGTTCTGTTAAGCTAATACGAAATACATACGTTTTACTATATTCCATACTAAAAATGTCTTCAGTGTTTGGTGTGCAGCTGGCTGTCGAAGTGCGCAATGAACCTCTTCTATACAGGGTGCCATCATGTTCTGTACTTATGGATATTCACAATCACACATAAGTGCAATGTGAAATCTTTATGTTTTACGATATTGATTCAAAACAATTGTAGCCAGAAGTACAAGGTAGACGTATGAAAACTTACAGCTCTGATACCAATACGACAAGATATCGTATTGCTTATGGAACCCTCGATCCCAGTCATGCGTGAAGTGCGCAAAGTCATCATTCGAGCGTTAATTGATGCGTACTTCTTGAGTCAGAAATTTTCTGTGCAAGGGACACAGCATCCCATATGCACTCTGTAGCACCTGTCGTCACTCCAACGACTTAGTCAGTAGGAGACTTTAAGCCCTGCGAGGATAGATCGTAATACGTTCACCGAGCCAGCGCGAAATGCTTGTTTAAGCCGGTCTTATATTGGTTCCGAGGGATAGCACCTAAGGTCTAAAATGTCCATCGATCGCCTAGGAATTATCACCACCTGCGAGAATGCGCATGTGAGTGTATTGCTAGGAAGTGTCAATCCGACGACAGTACCAGTACCACTGACTCCTACAGACGCTACGTATAGCGGGACCAATTCCGTTTGTCAGCAACTTAACAGGCAAAGATGAATATAACCGTTTCCGTCTGACGTGATTGTCTGAGATCGCCACAAACTTGATCACACTTAAAAATAGTAGCAGAGCGCCGAGCTTGTGACATCGACCTCCATGGAGGTCGATGTCATGGAGGTCTATGTCAATTGGACCCAGTCGCAAAGGAAGCTCAGTAGGGTCGGACTTATCCTCCACGTTAGTTGCGCGGTGAGATGAACAAACCCGGGGGAAACACCTAGATACTTTGTAAGCACCGTTCAAACATGTGCGACGCACACGACAGCTCAAACAGTAAGATATATGCAGTACTCCGATCACGAAAACTATATTCATGCGTCTATCGTTGAGGTATGTCGAAGTCTTGTCTCATTCCAACATTAAGATGAGTTACCAAGACATGATATCGTAAAACAAAAGGCGTCGCGCGCTCTTCCGTAGTAAAGTCTTCATGAGTCATGTACTCCACCGCTGATAGAAAGCAGAAGCGTAGGATACACGATTTTCCAGAATAGTTAGCAATTATTTCAGGAGCTTGAACAAAGCTCGAAAGGAACGTCTGGCTGCAAGCTGGGGTCTCCAGAGTTTACCTCTGCTATGTCAGAAGTGAGCAACAATATGCGCGGTCTCCAGAGTAAATCCTGCTGAGACAGATATAAACAGCTTAAGTTTTTTTTTCAGGTAACCTAATGAACGCGGTTGCTCGCCGCGGCAGCTTCCTGTGGAGAGAGGCGACTGCGAATAGCATGTATTTTTCTTTGGAAGCTGTTTTAGTGAAACCCTCATTTGGAATTAATAAAGCTTAACAAGACTCAGAAAGGTTGGAGCTCCTCTGTAAAAGCCAAAATGCTGTAACAATACATTGAGGCTCTGAAAAGCATACATTTGACACCACCATATGCCGCTACTCCAGTTTTCCTGCCTATGCCAGCCCCCAACAATAAATTTGTGCAGTTTAGTTGGTCGAACCTGCCCGCTAACTTTGCACTTCGAATACTCAAGTATAATTGTAGAATCAAGGCATAAATGTTTTCTGGCTGACACCGACTCCTCGCTTTGAGTGCTAATGTTGGCGTCGAGCTTATTCGCGCTTGCTCACAACCACTCGATGAAAGGGCTGACCACCCTCATTTCGATTATTAACGAACATTGACGAATATTTTTTTAGGTTCATTTGATTGAATACCCATGAGGTGGCAATTCCGTGGTCAGCGGTATTAAGTACCATATGGGCACTCCAAACTCCAAGCAACCCGCACCCGATGACTGCCCACTAGAAACGTACAGATCAAGTCTATTCTCAAATTTGGCACGAGGCTGCGCACAATTTTGCTCCTATCTTTGAAGGCTTGCAGTTTCGACTGGCGTTCCGACTTCTGCCTATCCGCTCAAGTTTCTGGTTCGTTGAGGCTTCACACCCAAAATTTGTAAATGCGTTCGCGATGGGTGCGATGCCATAGGGACTGAGCAGCACTTTTTCTCCGACTGCACCATTGCATCGCACCTCTGGCGACAGATCCGTCCGCTTGTGTCTCCGTTCTTAGTTGTGCGGCTAACATGACTCGACATTGCTCTGGCTAAGAAGATGTCCGTTCGCGACGACCGGAAAGCTTGCGAAGATGTTGTTGATGTTGTTCTTTGTATTAGACTTTTCCCCTCCAATTTCGACATCGATATTGACTCAGTTGAAAGTTGCTATGTATTATCTTATTACATGGCTATACTTACTCGGCCCTGACTAATATATTAAATTGCTTCTTCCGCTGAGGTATTTTTCTCAATTTTTTCTTGATTTTTTCATGTGAGATTCGCCATACCAAAGTCCATTTTTGGCTAGAGTCGGTAATATTTAGCATGTAGCCGGCATGTCTGGTTCGATTACGAATTTTGTCCGGTGAGGGGCTCGAACCCGCACCACACACCGTGACGCCCAAAAGGATTGACCACCTGACCCACACCATCGGGTCACATGAATTTCGGCTCAGTGGTTTGGAGTGGTGGCTACAATCCGCTGAATGAGGGCTCAAGTCCCACAACGGTCAAAGTTTGGAAGCGTTTACTTGGTATTTGGGGTTCACCAAGCCTC